CCCCGGCCTACCCGCATTACCTGCCGGTGCCCGGGGGCCCCCAGTACCTCGTGCCCTACTTCCCCCCCGAGGGGCCGGGGCCGGGGGCTCTGGGCTTTGTGGGGGAAGGGGGGCCCCCCGCCCTCATGGAGCTGCCCCCACCCCTGCTCAAGGAAGGCCCAGGGCCGCCCCCACCTGCCCCCAAGGAGGACACGCTGCCTCCCTTGCTCATCACTCTCCCCGCTGAGGCCGCGCTGCCCCCCGGCGCCTATGGCCGCCTCAAGGGCAGCCTCAGTCAGCTCCGTGGGCCCGGTGAGCCCCTGGCCTTCCCCTCCAATGAGCTGCAGGGCGGTGGGGCCGGGCCGGCCCTGCTGTCCCCGCCGGGCCCCGGGGAGCCCAAGGTGGCCGAGGCAGAGGCGGCCCCGCTGGGGGCGGGCGCGGCCAGGGCCCCCGAGGCAGCCAGGGCCTTCGTGCTGCCTGAGAAGGTGCTTCTGGAAGACGCCATGAAACTCTTCGACTGCTTGCCGGGCAACGCCGAGCCCGAGGGGTCCCCACCACGCAAGGCCCCCGGGCCGGCCCTGCCGGATAGCGGGGGCGGCGGAGACGACTCGTCCAGTGACATCCGCTTGTTGCACCTGCCGGACGAACTGCTGTCCCTTGACTACAGCGTGCCCGAGATCCTGGACACCGTGTCCAACGTGGACTGCCTTTTCAGCTTCAAGGCGCTTGATGAGGAGCCGGCGCCCCGCCCAGGGCCCCCCGCCGCCAACACCGTGGCCCCTGCCTTGCGACCTGAGCTGCCCGGCAGGAGGAAGGCCGGCACCTCGTCCGCCAAGAAGGGGAGGCAGGGAGGCAAGGGCAAGCAGGCTGCGGGCCCGGCCAGCGCCGCCCCCTCGGGGCCCAGGCAGGACCTGGGAGCCGGCCCCCATTAAAATGGATCTGACCTCTCGGCTCACTGTCGGCTCGGTCGCATCGGGGCCCAGGGACGGTGGGCTGAGGCTGGCTGTGGGGGGCTCTCCCCTCCTCCGTCCTGTCGCGGGGGCGCCGGTTGGCACGCGAAGGCCCAGCAGCCCCTCGGCACCTCCTGGGTGCTGGGCTTCCAGAGCTGAGCTGCGGAGGCCTAGGGTCCCGGGGAATCCTAAACCCGCCCTCTCCGAGCCCTGGAAAGTTGGGAGTCAGCCTGCAGGGATGGGCGCTTCCGGAAGGTGGGGAGATGCCGTCCATTTCTGTAAGGATCTGTTGCCCGAGTGGTGAACGGGTTGCCCAGAGAGGGGTGGGAGATGAGGCCTCCCCCCACCCCCCGCCTTCTCCCCCTGCAGAGGAGGAAGGGACCCTCCTGCCCCAGGGCCTGGGCTGGGTCCCTGGGACCTTCGTTGTTGGGCTCTGCCGGGGTAGCCCTGGGGGTGGCTGGGGTGGGCCCCCCTTCCCTGAACCCTCATTCCCAAGCTCGGGGGAGAGACAGCTGCTGGAACCGTGCTGCGGGCTGTGCGGCCGTGTCTGCGCTTACCCCGCCCGGCCCTGTTCTGGGCCTGGACAGAGAGGCCGGGAGCTCACTTCGCCCGGCTTCCTTCTGAGGCCCCCTCTCCCCGCAGCCCCATCAGGGGTATCTTTGAGACGAAACTCCAGGGCATTCGGTGAAGGGAAGGCCCTTGGCACGTGACGTAAGAGGAGGGCTTCGGTTTCCTTGGAGAAACGTTCGCTGCCAAGAGACGCCCGCCCAGGGAGGGCGGGGTAGGTGTGCGCGTGGAGGTTCCCCACCACTGGGTGGCGACTGTTTGGGACAACTGAGGACGCCCACAATATAAACCTAAGAATAATCGGGAAAGTCATGGGACTTAGGACGGGATGGCTGTCGTGGGCCGCCTGGGGTTCAGAATGAGGCGGTGGGTGGGGAGGGAAACCCCAGTGAACGGGTAGGTAGACTACACGTACCCGTGTACATTGTATATACGCGTGTGCACACGTCTGTGCACACGTGTACGTGCTACCTACATGCATGTGTAGAACAGGCACGTGTGTCTATACACGTGTATAGGTCTGTGCCCGTGTGTGTGTAACCTGGGTGAATACACGCTATGGGTGTATACGTGCATACGTACGCACACGAGTCCCAGGTATACACACGTACACATGCGAAATCTGCCCGACGTGTTCGTGCACGTAGCAAAACACACGTGTACGTGTTTGTATACACGTTAGGGTTTGTACCCAGGAAATGCAATCCCGCAGGTCGCGGTCTCCTACGGACATCCCCCCACTTGTCCTTGGGCCTTGTCCTCTACAGGACACGTTGCCGCGTCTCCTGCTTTTCGGAGACTTGCCTCTTGTCCCCCCGATGCCTGTGCTGGTTTACGTCACCGGCCTGCCCACCTCCGGTCCCAGCCCGTGTAGGTGCCACGTGCAGAGGAACTCTGACGTGAGGACGTGGAGAGAGACAGTGACGGTGGGGTGTCGGGAAAACAAACCACGCCTGATACGCGCTGCCGCTGGCTTTTTTCCAGAATGCTTTGTTTTAAGACAACTCTGGGCTCCTCCGCTGTGCGCTCAGCACCTGCCTTGGAAACACGGGCAAAGGTTTCTGAGTCTCCCGCACAGATTCATCCAGAACTCCTTGAGCCTGAGGCCCTTCTCGGTGTGCAGCAGTTTGGGGATCATGTAGGCCGACCACACGGACAGCAGCATGGCCATTATGAGCGGGATGATGGTGACCGTCGTCGGGATGATGGACGGGGGCAAGGCCCCGTAGACGTAGACGCTGAAGGTGGTCTCCAGGTGACAGTAACTGCAAAGGGGCGGTTGGGGAGAGGCCATGGGGCACTGCCCTTCACCCCGGTAAATGTGTTAAAACCCAAGACGGGACGGTTGGGCCCCGGGTGCTGGGCTGGGACACCGAGTTCCATGTGTGTCCACTTCAGCTTTTATCTGAGTGCTTTGGCGACAGTCACGTTTTCCCTCCCAGCATCCCTGTCCTCCCCTCCTCTGGGGACAGGGTGTCCCCTCAACTCTGTGCCCAGGCTCAACCTAGAGAGGCAAACAGACCAACCCGTTGCTGACCGGAAGCGGAGGGCGGGCACGATGGGGCCACAGGCACCCAGCAGGCGGGGGTAGCGGGCCAGGAGGGAAGGGCATCCCAGGAGAGGGGACCCAGCGTATAGGAGAACTCGGCAGGGTTGAGCTGGCAGCGCGGTGCGGAGAGAGGAGGTGACGGGCTCGAAGGCAGTCCCCTCTCTCCTCCGGATGTGCCACCCCAAGCCTCCCGCCCATGGCCATCCCAGAGTTGGCCCCCCTAGGTCAGGGTGTGGGCTCTCGAGGGAAGGCAGGGTCTCCATGTGCTTAGAGGGGCGGACTTTGTATTTGGAGAGGACAGATGACGCGGGGGATCGTCCCCTAGTGCCCCGTCCGGTGGGAGACGTTGATAATCCAGACCAGCACACGTAGAAACGTCCTCGCGCACGGGGGTGGTAACCATTTGTAGGGAGCGCCGATTCCCATGGTGTGAATTCTCCCCCCGTAGCTGACCTCAGGCTACCAGTGCAAAGACAGTTAGCTTCCCAAACCCCTGCATATTTAAGAGTCAGCTCCTGCACTCCACCGGCGGGATGTGGTTTGCGGGGGTGATTCTGGTCCCCGAGGGCGGGGACGTGGCCGCTGGTCATTGCTGTTGCCCCAGCGCCCAGCGTGGGCTCTGAGTAAGGACTTATTCAGCGAGTGAACAGATGTCTTTCAGAACTTAAAAGTATCATCCTTCCCAGGGACAGCCTGGGCTGCCGGGAAGATTGATGTTTATCCGGGACGCGCCAAGCGGTGGGAGAAAGGTGGGTCCCTCACGTGTGTGACCTGCCCTCGGGGAGCCATCCCCCCGCCCCCAGGCCTCTGGCGCAGGGCGACCCGCCCCTGCTCACCTGTAGTAGGGATCCACGATAGAAAGGAAGAAGACGTAGATCCCGTTCCTTTGGTCAAAAATAACCTTGTTTGCTGTTGGGCCTCCCAAGATCTGATACGGGACATCTGGCCATCTCAGAGGGGCGTCGTTGTCGGGGTCATGGCAGCTGATGTAGTTCTGGGGAGAAGGACAGAGGCGTGGCCACCAGCTCAGGGGCCGGGGAGGGCCGGGCCAGCGCCCGCAGATGCGCCCCGTGCGTGCACGGCCCCGCCTGCGACACGTCTCAGCAAACGCTCGTGGGTGGGCGTCCAGGGCCAGGTGCTGGCGGGCAGGTGGCTCGTGGCCTTCGCGGGGGACGCCGTGGATGGCTGCTCGGTCTTTATCTTGCCCCCCTGCTTCTGGGCCTTCCCAAGCTATAGGGGCGGCAGCTTCACAGAATCCCTTACAGTCCTGAGTCTGGGTCCGGGCGCTGCCGGCTACACATACAACTGGTGTTGTGGGCTGAGGTGAGCCCCCACCCCCGTCGCATGTTGGAGTCCTAACCCCCGATGGCCCAGAATGTGACCTTATCCAGAGATGGCGCCTTTTTCATGTAAATCTGGTTAAAGTGAGGTCATCAGGATGGGCCCTGATCCAGTATGACCGGCGTCCTTATAAACAGGGGACGTCTGGACACGGGCATGCACAGGGAGAACATCAGTGTGAAAACAGAGGCAGAAACTGGGGTGTGTGTCTACAGGCCAAGGAACGCCAAAGGGGGCCAGCAAACCACGAGCAGCCAAGCCTGGAACAGAGTCTCGCTCTCAGAAGGAAACAGCCTTGCCAGCACGTTGGTCCCAGACGCCTGGGAAAGTTCCTCCGGAGCTGGGGAAGCATAAATCTCCGGTTCGTGGTGTTTTTGCTACAGCAGCCCCGGCCAGCTAAGATACCTGGGAAATCTGAAGATACAGAGGAGACCCAGCCACCTTCCTGGGGCTTCTTGTTGGCATGGCCACCGAGCGTGGTCGTGGCACCAAGATGTGGTTGGGTGGGGGCAGGAGCTTTTCTCCCCTGTCTTCAGATCCCAGGATTTCATATAAAGGGGGAACCTCCCTGAAAACTCAACAGGTGCATCAGGCTGCCTGCCTGAGCTGAAGACCTCTCTCTTCTGCACTATTTGCTGGTGGACCCAGAAGGGAGGGAGCTGGGCTTGTAGACAACAGAAGAGAAAGAAAATTTTAAAGCAAGAAAGTCAAAGTAATAGCCCAGCAAGATGAAAAATAAAGGACTGGGGCGCCTGGGGGGGCTCAGTTGGTTGAGCATCTGACTCTTGATTTCTGCTCGGGTCACGACCCCAGGGTTGTGGGATCGGGCCCCGAGTCAGGATCCGCACTGATAGCATGGAGCCTGCTTGGGATATTCTCTCTCTCTCTCTCTCTCTCTCCCCCTCTCTCTCTCTCTCTCAAAAAAAAGAAAGACTCATTTTGCATGGCAAAAGCGAAAACCTGAAAGACATAAAAGATAAACTGAGGGAAATATTTGCAACTCATTTTGCAGTAAAGGGTTAACTTCACAGATCTATAAAGAGCTCTTGAAAAGTGAGGAGAGTCTGAAATCCCAGCAGAAAAAATGGACACAGACTGAACACAATCCACAGTGCAGAGAAGTGAAAATGGCCCTCAAACAGGAAAAGACACAGCCTGGTCCACCGTGGAAGAAGTGCACGCGGAAATAGACAAGTTCCTCCTGAGATAGTACACCTAGCTGGTGCGCTGTGGAGAGACAGGTGTCCGTGCACTGTGGTGAGAGGCACCGTGACACCACCCATGGAGGGGGCCTTAGTGGCATCCGCCTATAAGCCAGTAGGCACTTCCCTGGCCTCAAAACAGTTCTGCAGGACCAAGGGACTCAGGCTGGTGGGTTGAAGTGAGAGACCGGAAACATCCCGCGCCCGGCTGTTGGGCAGCAGAGAAACCCTGGAGCACCCGTCCTGTGGAGGGTGGTCATGTGACTTTAAAAGGAAGAAGCCCCCGCATGCCTCCTCCCCTTCGTACACACAGCTCTTCCCATCAAGAGGTGGGGTCTGGGTGGGCCCTGGAAACTGCTTCCGACCAGTAGAACAGGCCCGGGGTGGGGGGGGGGGGGGGGGGGGTGCTGGGGGAAAGGGCTGGGCCTGGGACTTCAGGGGTCTGGAAGCTTCCAATCTGGAACCGTGAGGTCATGCTGTAAGGGAGCCCAGGCTACCCTGCTGGGGAGGACAGCACGTGGACAACCCAGTGGCTGGCTAACAGAAGCCCCACACGGAAGAGGGGCCTTCTTGGACACCCCGCCCCCCAGCTGAATGGCCCCTGCAGGGGCGGTCCTGGCTGACGCCACAGGTCTGAGGTGCAGGACTGGGAGGACGACCCTGCTGGGTTTGGGGTGGTTTCTTCTGCAGCACTCCATAATGGCTAGCAGTCCCTCACACTGCTCTTTTGGCTTTTCTGGAGGTTTGGAAGTTCTCAGAATTAAAAACAAAAACACAGGGGCGCCTGGGTGGCTAAGTTGGTTAATCAACTGACTTCAGCTCAGGTCGTGATCTCATGGTTCGTGGGTTCGAGCCCCGCTTCAGGCTCTGTGCTGACAGCTCAGGGCCTGGAGCCTGCTTCGGATTCTGTGTCTCCCTCTCTCTCTGTTCCTCCCCTGCTCGTTCTCAGTCTTTTAAAAATAAATAAACGTTAAAAAAAATTTTTTTAAATCCTTCAGGAGTAAAAACAATTGAAAAAGCTGGGCCATATAAAGACCATATTAAAAAAAAAAAGTAACGGGACAAACTGGTAAATGCATGCTACATTGAATGACAGCACTAATCAAAAGAATGCAACGCTATATGCGGGCACAGTCGGAAAATAATAAACAAATTATATGTATGTGGCTTTCTCCTTTAAAGAAAATGATCAGAGAGGTGGTGTTTGCACGGCAGTGTGAACCCACAGAATGCCTGAGCTGTGCATTTTATTTTTTTTAATTTATTATTATTATTTTTTTACGTTTATTTTTGAGACAGAGCACGAACGGAGGAGGGGCAGACAGAGAGGGAGACACAGAATCGGAAGCAGGCTCCAGGGTCTGAGCCATCAGCCCAGAGCCCGACGCGAGGCTCGAACTCACCATCTGTGAGATCATGACCTGAGCTGAAGTCGGACGCTCAACCGACCAAGCCACCCAGGCGCCCCTGAGCTGTGCATTTTAAAACGGTTCCTATAGTTTAGGTGAAGTTCACCTTGGATTGAAAAAAAACAAAAACCAAAAAAACCCAAGTAGAATCATTGTTCCCAACAAAATGAATGATCCAACTCACTCAACACAAGGAGTGTGAGAACACTTTGAAGGTGCCCAGCTAAGAAAGGAAGCGTTAAAAAAAAAGGGAGCCCAGGGGCGGCCGGGTGGCTCAGTCGGTTAAGCGGCCGAGTTCGGCTCAGGTCATGACCTCTCGGTTCATGGGTTTGAGCCCCGCTTCCGGCTCTGTGCTGGCAGCTCAGAGCCCGGAACCTGCTTTGGATTCTGTGTCTCCCTCTCTCTGACACTCCCCTACTCGTGCTCTGTCTCAAAAAAATAAATGTTAAAGAAAGCGGAGAAGTCCAGTGTCTACACGCGGGAACGGGCATCAGGTGTGGGGAGCGAGCGCCACCTGCTGGCGGCGTTGCTGCGCTGCGGTCGCGCCCTCGCATCTGGAGGTTGAGCGGTTAGAAGCGGTTCGTGTGAAATCAGAAGACTCACAAGAGGGCCCGCGGGGTCCCTTCCTTACACTGGCATCACGCCCTATTTCTCCATTGTGCGAGACCCCATGTGCACGACAGAAACGCTCCCGCGGCAGGAACGACTGTGAATTTAATCGGTCCCAGTGGTGATAGGCATTTGGATGGTTCTGGAAGCTTGCATATTATGAGCATGCCTCGGTGCCTTTGGCCAACTCCCTTGAGAGAGCTTGCTCACTTCATAGTCCCCAGATGTCCTAGCGGGCATCCCCACCCCCAGCCACCTTGCTGTGGAAGGTCTGTGTCCCCCCCCCC